TCCCTACTTCATGGAAGAGCTACTGTGGGCCTGTGTTACTGAATGTCTGAAGTGTCCTGAGATCCTGGCTTGGGAGGTTCCAGCGATGGCAAAGTGTCATACTTGACTGTGTTTACATGATGACAAACTACTTGGAGCAGAGATCTCTGTGGAAAGCATAGTCGTCAGTCCCTGGGGAAGAGTGTCCTATAGGGCCCTTCCTCTGTTACCCCTATTACCTTGTAGCAGAGACAGATTTTTTTCCATTGTGTTGCTCAATTTTTCACTTCTGTATAAATGTTTCCAGCTGCTTTTATGGGGTTGAGGCAAAGTCCCCCTCCGAGTGTATGTTGTCATTTAAATCAGTGGGGTTATGCTGGCTAATGCCACCTGGAAAACTGGCCTTTGACCAGCACAGCTGTGGACATCTAGGTATTGCCACTGCCTGCCTCAAGACACCGACTGTGACAAAGGTATTACGGCCACAGCTGTGAAGACTGGAAGTTGCTGGGTAAATTCAGTATCCCTTTTTTAAACAAGAAGCAAGAGGAACAGGCTGTGTCTGTGTTGGGACAGTTGTTTTTCTCTCTCGCGGTGAATTTGTTGCCTAATTTTAAGCAGCTTTGATGAGAAGTGATTTCCCTCTCAATAAAAGCAGGGACACTGCATCTCTCATGCAGCAGGGTGTCTTAGTCTCTTGCTTTTGGGAACTTTCTCATGGTAAATCATAATGGCCAAATCCTCAGCAGGCATAAAAATACCATGGACATCAAAGGAAGTGCATGGATCCAGGCTGGTTTAGGAGCTGGGGTTTGCTGGGGGAAGGTGCCAGCTGCAGGAGTGACTGTTTAATGCCACTGAACGGAGGCCTCCAGCTTTCTCCACAGTGATCACCCAAAAGGAGCCCTGAGAGGGTCCGTGCTGGCTTGTGCTGGGTACCAACTGAATGCAGGCTGAAAAAGGCATTGCAAGGATATTCTGTGGTGCATAAGTGCCTGGGATTTGGGTGTGCAGTTTGGAGCATGAATGCTGATGTTCTGCTCACGAGTTTGTGAACACTTAGGACCTGAAACCTCTGCTTGCAAGTAGCAGTTATTCATACAAGTAGAGCTGCTTGCTAGCTGGAGCAGAAAGTAGTACCCTTTTCCAGACCAGCTGCCCTACATGAATAATTCAATGTAAAAAAAACCCCCACACAGGTTTAAAAAAAAAACAACAAAAAACATCCTGGGTTACAGAGGAAGTGAAAGCAACAAGGAAGAATACATCCATGTAAAATAAATGGAATAGAGAAAAAACTGACAGTACTGAATATACTTTAGAAGCTAAAAACAGTAAAAAAAAAAAAATTGGTAGGGGAAACAAGGATACATGGAGAAATCTGTGGCTAGCAAATTAAGGATAAAAAGCTGTGTGGGTTTTTTTTTTTGGGGGGGGGGGGGTTTAGTTATGTTCAGAACAAAAAGATTCCTAGCACTGTTTATTCTACTCTTAAATAGGAATGGCAAAATCGTGAAGAACAGCAAAAAAGGAGTGTTCAGTGGATATTTCTGTTTAGAGGCCACTTTCACAACGTCCGTTCCACCAGTAACGCAGGCAGACGTTAGAAAGCAGCGACTCAGGTTAGACATTGTAAAATCAACAGTTGTGAATATCTTGCGTCCCAACGTTTTAAAAGAACTATTAACATTTATTTTCACTAAGTCTCAAAACACGGGGAGGTTCCAGAGGCTTGGCAAAAAGCAAGCACTGTGTCAGTATTTAAAGAGAGAACGTGGGGTCACCTGAGTAATTAGAGGGCTGTTTACCCGATATTGCCCTTGGGCAAAATAATGGACTGACTGATGTGGGACTCAACCAGTCAAGAGTGAATTAATGCCAATCAACATACGTCTGTGGGAAACAGATCTTGTCAACCTGGCGCAACCTCGTAGTTGATGAGGTTGAAAAAGGTAACAGTGTTGACATTGTATATCGAGACTTTTGTATGGCTTTTGATTTGATGGAGTGTGACACCTCGTTTAGGAGACTAAAACAATACAATGTTGCCTGAGGCCACTGGAATACATATACTATACTAATGAAATGGTATATACCATATATATACCATATATATATATATACCGTGTGTGTATATATATATATACACTATATATATATATATACCGTGTGTGTATATATATATATACACTATATATATATACCATATATATACTACTATACATATACTAATGAAATGGCTCCCTATGCAGGCTGACTCTCTTACCTGTACATGAGTTTAGCTGGCAGATAGGGGGACCATGGGATGGTCCTTAATGCCCTCGAGTAAGACAGATGTGACAAGACAGGGTTTGAACTCAGCAAGATGGTTGATCTGTTGATCAAGCCTCTCTTGATCTCTCTTCTGGGAGCTTTAGGTTGTGGCAGTGGCAGCCCCAGGGAAGGCTGAGGGTTCAGGATCTCTCTGGGGCTGCTCTTGTACGAGGCCGCCTTCTGTCAGCGTTCAGGACGTCTGAGCAGCAGCCACTTCCTGTTGTCGTTACTCTGGTACAGTACTTCTTTTTTATTTTTAATCGGTGGTCTGATCTTCAGCTGCATAAATTGCTCTCCCACATCTCCCCAGAAAGAAGGAATCTCTCTGCAGAGCCCGTATAAGAAATAAAGCTCTAACTAGCGGGCTTCAGGCTGACGTCTTTGAGTACCACTGTCCTTGTCACAAGACAGGGGCACCAGAAAGCGACGTGGCGCTGCCCCTCGGCTCTGGCTTTGGGTGGGAAGGGTGTGTAGGTCAGTCAGGCCCTGGTCCTTTTGCCAGCCAGTCTTCCACAGGGGGTTTTGTACTAGTGACTCACTAAATTTTTTTCCACGTGGACCCCCATGCAGCCAACAGACGGTAACAGCTTGTGGTCACTATTTGTTACGGCTGGTTGACATTTCACAACTGACAAATTTCCCTCCTCAGAAAAAACAGGGTGAAAACCGAAACTTTGTAAAGGGAAATATTTATGACCGAGTGTTGCCGGGCACTAACATGAGCCTGCTGCTTCAAGAGCAGAGACAGCTTAGCTAAGGAGCCGTGAGAGCTAGGCAGGGCTCCACAGCTGCAGGGTGCCGTGGCAGCTGGCTAACCAGGGTGTTAGCGGGCACCTGCACCCAGTCAGCTGACCAGAAGGAAACGGGGGCCCTGGGCACATATAAGCCCCAGGGTTGGCGCTGGTAGGGGTTTAGTTCTCCGTCCGTAGCCAGGAGGAAGGCGCTCTTGCAGAAACGCTATTCAGAGATGCGTGGTTGCCTGTTTGGCTGCTGGTAAGACTCATGGGTTGTAGGAGCTCCTAAAGTATGTGGGGCGAGGAGGCACACATTGCTGAGAGGGAAGCTAGCCTCCTTCAAGGGGCAGAGTGTGACTCCCACCATGTTGTTGTTGTTATGTTATAGCCCGGGGGCTCGTATTTACATTGTTATTTGATCCGGCAGCCCGGGATGAGGCTATTTGGGGAGGAGGAGGCCTCATTAGGGCTGCAATGAGCCCAGTGCCAGCGAGGGCACAGCAACAAGGCTGCAGGGACCCCAGTGCTGGAGCGGGTGCGGAGACAGGGCTGCAGGGACCCCAGCACCATAGGATGCTGTTACAGGGGGCAAAGAGACCCCAGTGCCAGAGGGCACCACTATGGGGGCCAAGGGCCCAGTGATGGCAGGAGGCCGAAGTAGACTGCAGCCTCATCAAAAGAGACAATGTTTAAATACAATCTGCAAGGCATGGGGCGTGGTAAAGGGGTGGTTTTGGAGCCACGCATCTAGCCCGTAAGGCTTAGGGTGTCTTGGGAGGCACTGACTTTGAGTGACACCCAGCAAGGGCTCCACAATCATCAGGGTCTAGCGGGGGTCAAAACTCATGGGCAGCCTCCGAGCTTATCATTTCAACCAACAAGACGTGGCAGGAGAGACTAGAAGGTGCCCACAGGATGAAGCAGGCACGATCACAGAGTCCTGGGGTCATCGTGGCCACCCCTGAGGACCCCATGCCAAGACACCAAGGATTTATTTGTATTTGCTCTGGGGAAAAGCTGAATGAAAACGTTTGTTTCAGTTTGATGTTACGACTTGGAATGAGTCATTTCAATTCAGTCTGTCAATTCAAATGAATTTTCTGAATTGACATTTCAAATTGAAATGTCTTTTTCTATGAAAGGTTTGATATTTGGGATGGAGTTGAAACATGCAGACTTCCGGTGGGGTGGAAAATGAGTTTTCCTGTGAGCCCTACTGTTAATTGATTTTTAACTTTTTATTTTCCAGTACCTTTATATTTCAAGCTCATTAGAGAGGAAGGAGGATTTAGTGACATGTGGCCTTGGAACAAACCACTAGACTGGGGCTCAGGAGGTCTGGGGTCTACCTGAGGCAGTGTGACAGCTGTGTCTCTTCCTCTCTGGGCCTTGGTTTCCCCACTGGAAAAAGGTGACAATAACCCTTCCTTTCTCCTACTCTTTTCTTACCTGCTTAGATCTGCATTTCTTCAGAGCATAAATTGTTCTTTACCTGGTGCATGTACATCCCTTGGCTCAGCGGGCCCTGATCCCGGTCAGGGTGCCCAAATGTTACTGCCATAAGCAATAATAGTCTAGAATCATCATTGTGATATCTGATCTCATGTCTGACCATTCCTTTTCCTGACCTACCCATCTCCTGAGCCTCCCAGTCTCCAGTTTTGGTTGTCATTCTTTGTCTATAAAAATTGCTTCTTTCCTCCACAACCGTTCAGCTGTGCAGATTCATTGCCACTCGCCCTACTCTGCTTGTCTTCTCTCTGCTCTACTCCTTTACTCTGCTATTGAAATTTCTCCTGCTTCTCCCACTCCATGCCCTCTACCCCTTTTCTCCTCCTTCACATCTCTCAGCTTGTCTCCAGAGAATGGGGCCCTTGGCTGCAGGCTAATGAACTCAGCCCACGTGTGTGGGCAGCTGTTGACTGAGAAGAGGCTGGGCTAGTAATGGTTGTGACAAAATCTGCAAATGAGATAAAATACAGGAAAATACAAAAGAAGCAAGACAGCCCAACTGGTGGGAGGGAAGATTGTATCTCTCAGTAACAGCAAAATCAACACCAGGGACATTTTCCATTCCCATGCACCGAGATCCCTCCATACGTCCAGAACATGGCCTCTAGTGGTGACCGGCTTTGAGAAAAGGAAGAAAGCTTTGATTCCTCCTTTGTGGTAGGTTGAAAATAGTTCCCGGCAATGGTTTTTTGGTTTTGACCTTAGAAACACAAGACTTCGCTCTACCTGGTTTTTGTTAGAGGTGACCTTGGAGGACCCAGGGATGTGGACCACGAGTTCCTGGGAGAAGGTCAGTACTTTGGTTATGCACCATATAAGCCTTCCATAGCTCCAGAGCCCTGAGCAGCTTCGTGCGCATTGAAGTCTATGTTGCCTTGTCTGTACTAGTCTTTTGGAACAGGTTGATTAGTGTCTATTTGCCAATCTATTCTATATCTATATCCTAGTCTGGGCAAAAGCACAAATGGGGTATTGTCCTCTCAGCCCTGAAGTGAAGGAGAAGGCATAAGGAATGGGTCACAAAAGGGCTCTTCTTCCTGCCATTTATTCAGGCTTTAGAAGTTAATAGATATTAACAAGAACCAAGGAACCGACAGCCAGAATAATGACCACTTGCCACTCAGTTAAACAAGGTTCACTTCCATGGTATCTGCCTAACCTGGGGTAAAAGGTGTGTTGTGGGTGTGGGGTAGCTCATATCCTCTGACAAACAGGTTTTAGGAGTCTGGTGTGCATTCAGCCCACTGCCTTTAGCATGATTTAAACTGGTCAAGTTAAATCCAAAAGGGAGCCCAGGCTTTAATCAGTTTAACTTGGGTTAAAGTCTATGCTCCCATTTCTATACTCAACCTCTCAAACACATTAGCCAGGGCACATGTAAACAGCAGCCACAGGAGTGACTGCAATGTAGTGTAGACATGCCAGGGCTAGCCTTAAACCAGCCAGCCTGGGTAGCAGTAGCTCAGCATGAAGCAATGTGCCTTGCTGAGAAGCAGAGTAAATAAGCCCAGGCTAAGCGGCACGTTCCTGTGACAAGACTGCTTCTGGCCCCTGCGCTAGCTCTCGTAATGCTAACTCGGCTGTCTCTGAGTGATGCTGCAGGTGCTAGTGTCATTGTTACGCCCTTGGAGCAGTCCAACATTGCGCTTTTGCAATCTAGGCTATGCCAGGCCTACAATCTCCTAGTCGTTTGGAACTATTGCAAGAAAAGGAAGGTACCTCAGGCCATGAGTCCTAATGAAAAAAACCCCCAGTAGATCCACCTGCCGTTCTCAAAGGGCTAGGGCAGCATGTATGATATTGAAACCAAAGAGGTTGTTAATAAAAGCAGAAAGTGCCTCTAGCTGTTCATACAGGTCCTAGGTCAAGCGCATGCTTAACCCTAAGCCCATGCTTGAGTGCTGTGCCTAACTGGGGCTGGAAAGCCGTCTGCAAGGTCTACTGAAGTCAGTGGAGTCTGTCCAGTGATTTCAATGGACTTTGGATTAGGCCTGTAGCTTTAGATTCCTACATTCAGTGAACAACAGTAATACTAGTTCCTTGCTTCCAGTCGGGCTTTGTGCTTGAGCAAGGGCTACTCATAGGAGTAAAGTCTTTATGGTATTAATATGCTGGTGAGAAGAGAAGCGTGGGCAGAAGTTACTTAATAAGATATTGATATCACATGTACTTATCTTGCTTACTGTTATCTTTAAAATATCTTCAAAAATAAGTATTTAAGTGCATGTATCTCTACAATCTCTTCTAGCTAACCAATGCCATGTAAACAAAGAAGCTGCCTGCTGCTGATTTTTGGATTTGGGTCTTAATTTGCAATTTCCTTTTATACCGACTCATTTTTCAGATTGCTATCAGCCGGGTAGCATCTCCTGAGCTGCAGTAGGAAATGAGCTATTTGAGAATGACAGCTAATTGAGGCAGATATTTGTGGGGAGACATATCAGTTGAACAGCGAGGTGGGGGGTGGGGACTCCAGGAAGAAATGGACTTTTAGCCTGATGGTTGCCTATCTCTGAAGGTAAGAATAATTTCATGAAAGGCGGATATAGGGGGAAGGTGAATGGACTTCTTGAAACCTGTTTAGTTGAGTGACGCTTGGAAATTCTATTCTTGCAAAAAAATTTTTTACTCTAATTGTGGTCGAGGTGGAATTCCTTTGATCAGTCGATTTGAGCTATCTGTCGATGGTATTTCTAAGACCGCTGAGCATTGTGATATCGAAGTACTGGATATAGACAGTCATATACTGTATGTAGATATTTGCTATTTGTCATTATACATAAACTTTTATTTTATTTAATTATTTTTAAATGTTTGTCAACAGCTCAAAGCACCTTTACAACATTTAAGGTGCAGCATGTAAAGATTTTCTGGATGTAGCTGTTTGTTGTACATTTGAATTCTCTTAAATATTGTGGCCGGCAGTTTCTAGCCGAAGGCCTCAGTTCAGCAAAGCGCACGTATAGCTATGTGCTTTTATTTCATTAGTTTGAGTGGTGTTTGTAAGCAAAGCACAGGGGAATTTTTATTTTACATATATACAGGTGTGTGTGTATGTATATTTTATACGGAGTTTAAGGGAATTTATGTTCCCACTTGCCACTAAATTTCAATGGGATTTGGGCTCATAATTTACTTAGTTCTCTTCAAAAAGCCCAGCCCAAGTGTTTGGCCAAATTGGGGCGCAGATACCTTGCATTAGGTTATCAAGTCCCTTTTTAGCCACGTTGATTGTCCACAAATTCCAGTGAAATTAGTTGTAGCTGCTGGTGGTCAGCAGCTTTGGAAATCAGACTCTTTTTTTTTTTACTTGCCTAAAGTTTAAGTCTAAAAGCTTATGGCTTTAATTGCTTCCAGCATCATTTTTATTAGAGTCACTACAGGGTTTTTATGCATATTTTAAAGAGAAAAATAGGAAGGGACTAAAGGAAGAAAACAACAACAACAATAATAATAATTATGATGATTATTATTATTTCATAATAGAAAACAGGATTGGATGGGAGGGACCTCAGGAGGTCAACTTGCCCAGTAGGATCAACATACTTAAATAAACAGTGTCAACATTATCAGAATTAAATTGTAGTTGTGCTTAGAGATTTCAATGAAGGACAAGCTTAATGATAGACGGCATTGTACACATGTACATGCACACTTCTTAGGATGTGCCTGCTGCGCTTGTGTAACTCTCTATTTTAACTATCAAAGTGTAGTAGAAGGGGCTTATAAACAGTGTAAGGAATGCAGATTCCTTCTGTACAACGAATGGCTACAACTGGAAAATCTTGCAGTGCTGCACCTCAAATGTTGTAAAGGTGCTTCGATCTGTTAAATAGCTTAGAATTATTAAATTAAATAAAAGCTTATGTATAACTATGAATAGCAAATATATATGTATATGACTGTCTATATCCAGTAGCTTGATATCACAATGCTTCCAGGTATGGTTGAAAGCAAATGAAACTGCATCAGAGCAAACCAACCCGGGTAGAAGAGACCTTCATATCATCAGCTCTGACAATACCCGACATTTTACCAGGTTTTCAATGTTGGGGGCAGCCAGCAAACGACACGTGCACGTGCTTTCCTGAACCAGAGCCTTAAGAATTCCTTAAAGTGCATCTCAGTGCATCGAGGCACTGGCAGTCTGTGGAGTTCCCAAAGACTGCCAAGAAAGCCAAGCTAGCTATATTTTAATTGGGAACGTTTGCATAACGCACAACAAATTCTTGAATGCATAAGCAGAAGGAAAGCTCACTTTATTTACCACAACTTTGTACAGCGCTGGGTTATTTATAGACCCAGTCCTGTAAACCTGACTCACGCATTTGACCCACTGAAGTCAATAAGACTTGCTTGTACAAATGAGGACTACTCGGGTGAGTAAAGGCAGCAGGACTGTGTTGTGTGTTTAGCTAATCGGCGTTGATTGAGACATCAGCCTACCTTTGCTTTATTTTAAGCTCTGTGGATGTCATGAAACATGTGAGAGTTAGGTATTATCATTCATTACTATAGATAAATAACGGTGGGCTTGATTCACGCTATTTGGAACAAGCACTAACAGTCACTGACTACTTACGGGACACACCTTTGCCTGCTGAAGCTGACAAACTGAGGAAGCCCAGAACTTCTCTGGTTGAGACAGAGAAACATGCCGTACGCACGTGAATTGATCAGCTTGCTTTGCAATCAAAAGTGCTGCTAGAGTAAGTTTCTTTTCTGCACGATGGACCATATTTGACGGTCAGCAGAGTAGATAGGAGCTTTGTGTGGAAAAGGGGCTCTTAGTTGAAACAAATTGGATAAGAAACACTTTTCTTACGCGTGTTGCGTGATATACAGACCGTTTTGTTATATGCTATTAAGAGAATCCATTATAGAAACTTAAACCTGCTGCAGTGCTGGCTCCACTCAGTAGACAGTGTGAGATGGTGGCTGTCTAACGAAGGTCAATGGTGAGTGAAGGGAAATGACATATATTTTTTACAGAACCGTGTTATCCAAGGCATGTTTTTATTAGGCGCTCGTCACCGTAGGTCTATGTAATAAAGGACTGGTTTCCCACTTACAACAGTTTTGTTAGTTATGAAGTAATTGTCTGCCATAGATATAGAGTGAGTGAATTGGGGTAAGGAGAAGCATATGGTAATTAATTACACGGACAAACAAGGAAAGAGATTGTTACAAAATACAGTAGACGTGTATTGTTTGGAGCTCTCTGAAAAGAAATGGGACAAAGGCCCTAAATTGTTTCATTTTATCATACTTTCTTTTGTGGCTTTGAAATCTGATTACTTGTCCCTTCATCCTACCTTCTGCTTAGATATGTAAAGGGATCCAATCCTTGGTTTGGTGTAAGTCAGGGGAGTTTTGCTCACGTACACTGGCTGAGATCTGCTGCAACAGTTACCATATCGAATATTGAATCCTAACTCTGAGTGGTCCCCGGATCCTGGTTCACACTATATCTTTTTTGTCTGTTTGTTCTCAGTTCACATGAGTGCAGCGTATGCTGTATTGCTTACTACGTTGCATCAATCTGCTTAGATTATCGCATTTTCTCTCCATTAGTTCTGTCTCTGAATTGCAGCTGACAGTGAAACATCACCCCCTCAAGTCTGGAGAAGGGTCAGTGAATGGTAAGGAAGACTTACAAGCACTGCTGCTCTTTTTGCTGCAGATCAGACCAGTATTTGGTACTAATGGCCCCCTTTCCCACTAGCAGTTTTGGGGGTCCCCTTGAGATATTGTCCGGTATTGGGGTAAGCCACTGTGGCTCTGAGCATTTCTATGGGATGAAAAGCTAAGAGGCGTGTACAGTGAGCCCAAGACGCACCAGAGGAATCGTTAGCAGGTGATTAGAGCATGGGACTGCGCGTCAGGTGTTCTGGTTCCATTCTCAGCTCTCGTGTGGCCTTGATAAATCGTTCAGCCTCCCTACCCTTGCATGTCCCTAGTTGTATTGAAGTGCCAAGTATTATTACTTCATCTGACTGGTGGTGGGGGGTGCTACATACTTTAGGGAACCCACCACTGGCTTTTCTCCATTAACCCAGCCCCACGTATGCTGCTTCCTGCTAGGCATTACACCCTCGGGTACTTTGGGTGGTGACCAGGGAGCCAACGGACTAATCATTTGCCTCTTGATTTCATCAGAAACCCTCGACGGTTTATCCAAGTACTGCATCTGTCCGGACTACCTGTTGGGAAGATGACAAATTGGTAGGTGCCCAGTAAAGCAGCTCTTTCCTCCCTTGCTCCCATCCTTGCCTTGGAGCTGGGGCCTTTTTCATTGCATGTAATAAGAGAAACTCCCATTGTTGGGAGTTGCAGGGATAGAGTTTCAGAGATGAGTGGCTTAAGCCTCTTCCTCTATAACCACCTCTTTAGGGACTAGGTTAGTGATTCTCAACCAGGACACGGTAGGATGCCCTGAAATCCTTTCAGGGATGCCACAGGGTGTCACACAACATGAGCACTGTTAGGTGTGCAAACACGATTCACAAGATAACCCAGAGATTTCGATTAGGAATCTGTATAGTGTTAAAGCCATTCTAACCAGCCATTCTAACCAGCCATGGTCTGTTCTTTGCAACAGAAGAATTTCTCTCTTCTTCAGTTTAAAAAAAAAAGTGTAAAATTAGAGCTGCCATTCTCTGAGGGATGCCTCGAATATGAAAGGGTGCCTCATATCTATTGATAGGTGCCTCGAGTCTTGATAGGTTGAAAACGAAAGGACTGGATTTTGGATTTTAAATATAAATCTAGGATTTCCCTTTCTGAGGGAAAAGAGCTAGGTCTGGGTCTCATCTCTCCTTATTTTTTATAAACCTCATTTTGTTGACCCTTGGGTCATTCTAAATTCCTCCTGGACAATGGCACTTAATAGCCAGAGAAGCCTGATTGTCAAAAGAGACTCATGATTTGGGGTACCCGAATTTCTAGGAGCCAAACTTGGGATGAATTTCATCAAAGGGGCTGGGATTTTGTGGGTGAGATCTATTATTGAACCAGCTGCATTGTTAGGAGAGGTTTAGACAAGACTTTTGGCATTCAGGCACCTTCCTTATGTCTGAGGAAGGCTGATCTTTCAGAAAGCACCTTCCCACCGGGAAAATTGGATTCCTTTAATTTGTCTGAAGTCAGACACGCAGAAGTGAGGTGCCCAAATCACTGTCGTTGCTTTAGAAAACCTTGGTCAAAATCTTTGAACAAGGCTCCTTAAAATGTCTTCTAGTCTGTAGGCCAGGCAGGATGTGAACGATTTAACGCTGTCTAATTGGTTTTCTCTCCTTCAGTACTGTCTGGTGGCAAAGCATCGCAATCTCAGGCGTGACCTTTACCATGTATATAGTTCCCTTGATTGGCTTCTACATCATGCTCAGCAGAAAAATAGGTAATTTACTCCTTTCCTGATTTCTGGGTTCATGGTCCCCTTCCTTCCCCTGTGTGATTCCATTTAAGTGAATGGGATGAAGTTTGTCATGTCAAAGGTAACAAGCTGTTGAATTCCAGGTTAGTTCTGGTGCTGGTACAGGAAACACCAAGCACTTCCGGAGAGAGGGTGGGGATTTGCTGCTATCCACCGGTAGACAAACATGGCCTAGTCATGTAGCTAGTGTTTATCAAAGGTCTTCTCCAGCCTAGCAGCCCTTCAGGCTGGAGTGTGGTTAAGTCGTGTTTCTGTAGCCAGCATCACTCCAAGGGAGTGACGTGACTAGCATCGTGACCAGCCACCCGTGACTCCCTCATCTGAATGCCCAAGGACCCATAGACAGTTGGGTTAACTAGCACTGACTTTTGGCATGGATCTGGAGCAATCTCAGACCAGCACCTCCAGGGCTTTAACAAGTACTGCTGCCTATGCTTGAAAACTAGCGTTTCTCTTTGACCGGAAATGTTAATATTTCAACATTTGGACAAGTAAAAACAACGCTTCCTTTTTTGGTTGTTTTAAACAGACATTTTTTAAGCCAAAAAGCACTGTTTGGTTTTGAACTGTTGCTTAGAAACAAGGCATTTAATTTTTCAACTGTTCTCACTGAAAACTTTTCAGACAAAATGAGTGTTTCACTCTGCAGAGGGCTGGTTTTCATGAAACAGTGTCCTTCAGTGGGAAAATATTTCATGCAAAACATGTGAGCCAGGTCTGAATGTGACACATCATGATCTGCTCTCCTGGTTAATTATTATTAGATGCACAGTGCTGTAACCCATTGGCTCTTCACCACAAGAGGCCTGGGAGTCATTTCAGTCATTTTTCTGGGGACGAGTGTGCATCTAAAAACTAATTAAGAAAAAAATTTCATCCAAGTCTGACTACATGGATTAATACAAATAACTCTTTCTGCTCTGGAGAGGCCTGGGAGTGGAATAAAAGACCCAATCTAGGGCCTGGGCTCTGGTGCATTCGTGGAACTGGATGAGACCATTCCAGAATGGGCAGAACAAAGGGTGTTGCAGACCAGCAATGGGGTGAATTTGCAGGGCCGTGTGTGGATGCCTCAGCACCAAAAGAGCTGCCTGGTGCCGTTGTTCAGGCCTGAAGAGCATTTGCAGAGCTGAGTAGGAGTTGCAAGGCTGTAACAGCAAGGGATGTATGGGTTACGGGTGAAATGTATTGGTAGAAATGGGGTGTAGGTTGTAGCCATGTTGGTCTAAGGACACAGGCAGACAAGGTTCCTTGGGTGAATCTGATATCTTTTATTAGACCAACTTAAATAGTTAGAAAAAAAATTTCGTTGCAAGCTTTCGGGTTTAAAACCCCTTCGTCAGGCTGAGGAAGCCTCTGCGGTTGGTGTGTGCTCTTCGTGGATGGAAGGAATAGTAAAGAAGCCCGAGGCTGGTCTGCATGCAAGACGGGCAGTCAGTGAAGATGTAAATTGAGGAGTCAATGGGTGAGACAGGCTGGGAGGGTGTGGAGGGAGAGAAAAGGGGGATGAAAGTAGCAGTTAAATAGTGGAGAGGTACCTGGGGAGTCAGATGTCAAGCAGGTTATAATGTGCTATAAATCCAATGTCTATATTTAGTCCATGATTTTTAGTATCCAGGAGGTTGATGAAGTGGGTGGAGTTCGTAGGCTCGTCTGCGGGAAGTGTTTTGCAAGTTCCCTTTGAGGATCAGAAGTGAGAGACTGGAGAGAGAGTGGTTTTCTTGTGAGAAGTGTGCCCCACCGGTAACTGGGTGTTCTCCTCTTCGATAGATGTCCGGTGTGCGTTCATTCTGGCGCGCAGTTGTTGCTTGGTCTCTCCTACGTATTTTCTATCAGGGCATTTGGTGCATTGGATGAGAGATATTACATTCCTGGAGGTGCAGCTGTAAGATCCTGTGATGCTGACGGCTCTGTTGTGGGGTGTAGTAATAGTGTTGGCAGGTTTTGCATTTCTTGACCTGGCATGACCTGGATCCATTTGGTGTGTTCTGGGCCGTAGGAAGTTTGCTTCTGGTGATGAGGTTAGCAAGGTCTTGCGCTTGTTTAAAGGCTAGGATGGGCGGTTCTGGGAAGATCTCTTTAAGAACAGGATCTCCTTCTAGTATGGGTTGCAGTTGTTTGAGGATTTTCCTTATGGGTTCGAGGGAGGGGTGATACGTCATAACCATCGGTGTGCAATTCATGAGGGTTTTTCTTCTGTACTGCAGCAGTTCTTCGTGTGGTATCTGAGTGGCTCTTTCAAACGTACGATCGATCTCTCTGGAGGAGTGTCCTTGTTGAGTGAAAGCCGTTTTAAGATTGGCGAGGCGGCAATCCCGAGTGCTTTCCTTAGTGCAAATTTGGTGGTATCTGGGGGCTTGGCTGTATATCACAGCTTTCTAAACCCAAAAGCTTGCTAAGAAATTTTTTTTCCAACTATTTAAGATGGTCTAATAAAAGATATCAGATGCACCCAAAGAACCTTGTCTGCCTTGGTAGAAATGGGGGTGAGGAGAGGAGCTTTCCCAGCATCTGGCTGCTACATGCCTTGCTTTACCCAGTGCTGGCATTTTTCCCACCTGCAAGCAGTGGCTGCCAGTTATCAGCCACATTAGAGGCAAGTATATGGTCTTCTGGTTCAGCCCTCTGAAATGCCCGTCAAAGTGGCAGCAACCTGAAAAGCTCCAAAACACCCTTGTGTATTGCTGCACCACAGCTCAGGGCACCTCTCATTGTCCTGGCCTCATGATCTGCTCCTGCCCTGCAGCCCAGGGCCTGTGAAACCAGTTAGTCCTTGTCATTGGTATCCTGGACTGGCTGAGAATGAGCAAATCTGTCATTTCCTTTCAGACAAGCACTCCTGTCATAATGAGGCAAGGAGCAGTGGCAGCACAGAAGCAAAGCAAGAGCCAGTCAAAACACCTCCGGCAGCAGCAGGGGATGCGCCAAGAGTAACCTATGAGGGTAAGATTGGACTAGTGGGACCAAGTAGATGAGTCTTAAGGCCAGATCCCCAGTGGCTGTAAATCCATGTTGTCTCAAAGGCAGTGGTGGACTTGACCAGCTTTTACCAGCTGGACACCTGGCCATGGATACCTGTGCCTGTAGATGGGTTTCCGGGAATGAGGAGTTTTGTGCCCCTCCAAAGGGGAATGATGGCACCAGCTGCAGCCCTGAATTTATACCTCAAGGAAAAAAATACCCTTTATTCACTATGCAGTGTAGTGACTTTCTTAACCCCCATCTCCCAAGCTCGGCTCTCATCCTCATTCCAGGGGATGGGCTTTTCTTTACGTGGTAGCAGTAGACCTGGGCAGCAGCAAATGCACCCTGGATGCATGAAGGGAGAAAATGACCTGTACAACTGGACACCCTACATTCCCAGCCTGTGCCCCTCTCCCCACCCCTTTCTATTTTCCAGGTGAGGTCTTTGCTGTTTGCTCCCTCACACAGGTGGAGCCAGAGAGGTGTGGGGGAAGCGGGGCAGGATGGTGCTTTCCATGGTTTCCATCTTCATGCGATTGCTGGGAGCCCACAACACCTGACACCGATTTTGGCCAATCGGTAGTGATGCTGTATGACCTTGACCCTAGTGTGCTGCAGTGGGGTGGGGTGAGGGGCCAGTGACTGAGGATGGAAAAACTGTCTCCAGTACAAACATTTTGTCAGCAGATAAAAGATACCGCCCGCGGGCCCCATCTGGGACTCATATGAGCTGTTTGATAGGCACCCGCAAAAGGCAAGGGAACCAAGTGCTCCGACTGCAGCTTGATGCTCTGTGACACTGATGCAGAGATAAGCCCTCTAGAAGAGAGATCCTATCTGTCTGCTGCTAACCCAGCTCCCCCTCCTCTGGTTACTTTCCCCCTTCAGTAATGGCAGAGATAAAAATCTTGAAATCTTTTTCTTGCTTAAGATGACAGTGAAACCTCCTCAGAAACATCCGAGGACTCGGAGAGCAGCCCCTCCGCCGCGCAGGTAATGGAACGGCATGTCTTTGTATTTTTATATGATTATTTGAGCTGCAATTCCCAAGGGCCGATCAGGTCCTGGCCCTGCTTTGCTAGATGCTTCTGGCACAAAAGCCAGGGTTTTCCGAAATCTCTGCACTCCAGCTCTCCTGGAAATGTGACTGCTTATTTCATGGCTGGGTGGGAATTCCTCTGGCCTTGAATAAGCAAGAGGGTTTCAAGCCACCTTACAGCTTCTACACAGCTAAGGGACTCCCCAGGGAGGTGGAGGCATTGTCAGCAATGCAGTTACCTAGGCAAAATGGTCACAGGAGTACTGCAAAGGATAATGCAGCAAAATGGGGGGGAGGGGGGTCAAATTAAATGCCCCAGGAGGGTTTTTTGGCTATCCTGCTTGTGTTGACCTCGCCAGGGGTCCCCACCAGGACACTGTCTTTCTTACGATGGTGTCTGGGCTACCAAGAGCTTCCTGGTGAATGAGATCTTTGTGATCCAAGTGTAGGGCAGAGATTGGGGGGCTGTTTATGGAAACACACCCAGCCCCTGCATTGTAGGGTGGGCTTGTGAGGTGGGTCCATTGTCTGTGTGTGTTTTGGGGAGGATTTGTGCTGGTGTCCCTGTAAACACAAAATGCAACACAGTGGAAGGGGGGCCCTGTGATCCCAGGGCTGTCTGGCACGCTGACATTTGTCCGCTGATTTGAAATCCAATATTGATGGCGGCAAAATCCTGAGCACATTCGCTGCGTAATCTCCCTAATCTCATAACCGCATCGCTGGGACCAGAATGACCGCTGTCGCCTGCGGTGTGCACGTCTGCCTGCATGTGCCAGCAGGATGGGGACGGTGACCCACCGGGCGTGTGGAGTCTAATGATCCACTGGGCCCGAAGGCTTGGCTGAAATCTGTTCTGGCTTCTGTTTCCCATGCTTCAGGGCCCGACATCACAGGAAAGCATCAGTTACACCACCCTCCTCTTTCCAGCCCCAGGACGTGGCACAGGCTCTAGCGGGGACTACGAGAACATGAAGGCCGCGACAGATTACGTCAATGTGGATCCCAAAAAGCAGAAAGTGGATTTCTGGGTCTGCTCGAGCCCTACAACCTCCAAATCGATCGAATACACTGAAGTGAAGCTGTGATAATGCAGCTATTGCTGGCCAAGCTCTACAGGGGCAGAGCCCCTCTCGGCTGCCCCAGTGGCACCTCCACATCTGTTTATAGAGCCATTTTCCTCCGCACTGTTACACAGTGCCTGCCAAGCAGAAAGACTTATCTTCTTTACCCTGCCTCCTGTGACCGTGCATGGTATCTTTTTCTTTCCTGCACCTTGCTAAGCTTGGGGCCTCCAATACAATGTGAGAGCGAGTGTCACCAGCTCTGAATGCTGTATGGAAGAGAAAGCATGCCTTCCCTCAGCCTTGGATGCACTTTTCAGTTTCCTTGAATGCCCCTTGTTCTCACACAAGGGAAGGAGCTGATAAGCCCCCTGTGCTTGTAATCAAGCATCAATCCAGCCTCAGAGGAGATGAGCCAAAGGAGCTGAAGTGCTCCCTTGACTTATGCACCCGTAATAAAACCCTTTGACATCCATTTCCCAAACCTGCTTTGCCCTTTCTATTTGGCAAGGGCTGATTATTTTCCTTCTTTCCTTTAACTTTTGAAAGACCTTGACTACTGAGAGGAAGCTCACCATGCATTTCTGCAGGCAATCGAGCAGGGGCTCCCCTCTGAGTGGTCTGGAACATCCCCTCCTTGAGGACAGAAAGCTCTGTCTTCATCTGATTTGCTCATGATGATGTAGCCCTCTGTTTAGCTGCCTTACTAGCTGGGGCCAGTTCCCAGGCAGAACTCATTAGGTATGTGCAAATAGCGGTGGGAGGCTTCAGCGGCACTGAGCAGATTGGGGCTGTGGGGACCAAGCATCCATTGGAGAATAGGTGGGATCTGCTGTGCTAATTGGAGTCCTGTCAGAGCCCAGGGCTCCCTAGGAGTATTAATTGCTTGAGCACAGTTGCTGGCACTGGAGGCAGGCCACCTGCCGGGAATTTCCCTCCCCACCTTATGTCATAACTATCAGCACAGATGGTGAAAGGGGGTCAGGGTGTGCACCACTACAAAGGAATATAGCAACCACCAGCCTGGATCAGGCCACTGGTCAGTCTGCTTCAGCCCCCTGCTTCCGGTCCAATGGTTGATTTTTGCAGAAGCTCTTTCACAATCAAGACCCGGGCTTCAACCAATGCTTGAATCTGCTGCAGAAGCACCTCTGTTCCCTAGGAACTATGCCACGCTCTCATCGAGCAGCTCCTGCTAGTCCATCAGCTGCCGGCACAGGCTGAGTTTTGTAGCTTCCTCTTGCTTCTGTCCCACTCCCTGGGAGCTTGCTGTTGACTTCAGTGTGAGTGAGAATGTGCCGGGATGGCGCCGACGGTAACAGTGTGACTTGTGTCTTGATTCAAAGCCTCCCGAAGTTCTTTCATGACAAGTTAATTTAGAAACAGAGACAGGACCCTTCTGAAATCATCTGCTTTCAGAACCAGCTACAGGCAGCAGATAAAGAGCTCCCTTCCTTCATCCTGTCCTGCGCAGCATGAGAGCAGGAGCTTTGTTCAGGCTCCATCTGCGCTGGCTTTTTGTTTCCTGCTCCAGCACATAACCCTCATCGCTGAACTAATGACTGCAAAGGAGCTATGCCTGCCTGTTCATTAAGGCAATCACTATATTCCTTTATCGCCCAAAGGCTGCCCTGAAGCTTCCAGGGCTGGGTCTTAGTTACACAGTGTTGCCATCTCCCTTGATTCTGGTGCTAATCTTGCCCTTTTCAGGCTTTGGGTCCCAGTGGTTGGAATCTTGGTCCTGTCTTTTGTTCAAAAAATAAGTCTCCAGCTCATATAGCAGAGGTAAGCTGGAGCGCACAAACTGAGTACACCTCAAACGGCAAAACCCAGAGGCCAATAAAAAGCAAATATTGGGATCTTTGAAGCAAAATAACATGAATTTTTAAGCCAATGGCATGCTTTGTTGGGGCAGGGATCCTGGCTTTCAGATGTTTGGGATGGGCAGGACTGATTGCGCTAGCAGAGTCAAGGGGTGGGTATAAATGTAATTGGTATAACTGTCATCTAAGCCTCCTTACCCTGCCAAAGGCATGCAACAGGGCCTTTGGGTGAATGCAAATCAGGCCCTGTATGCTTTTATATGATATCAGTAGCAGCCTTAGCTTTCTGGGACCAGTTCCTCAACCAGTGTAAGCTGGGATACACCATTCACTTCAGTGGAACTTTTGGGCTTTACCACTACTGAAAATCTGGCCCTTGGCCTACAAAGATGAAGTTAAAAAATTACAAATTAAAAGCTTGGGGTTTTGGCAGGGAGAGCATAACATGTGGGTCTCTCTGTTGCAAGGCACAGCTACTGAGGGAACAAAAGGAGCTTCTGCAGGAAGGCAGCATGCTTAGGAATGCAAAGGTGCAGGGTGCCAGTACAAAGGGCTTCCTCTCCACAGACCGCTGACCACTGGGGAATTTGGGGTGCCCAGAAAAGGGCTGGAAAAAAGTAACCGGTGATGCTATGAGCCAACTGTTGTTTGCAGAGCTGTCTGGGGCAAGCCACCTACACTACACAGCAGGGAGAAGCTGTATTCGGCTCGCAGGACCCAGGGTGCTGCCACGTGTTCTCGAGCACCCCCTGCTGGGATTGTCTCTCTTAGACACACAGACAGACACTACTGTGTGCTACGGGATGGACTTGGGGGCACACGTGGCACATGTAAAGATGCACCAGTCTTCAGTGTTATGCAGTAGAAAGGCCGGATGGTGGAGCTCCTTGTCGATGAAGTTGTTGAAATATGCAGCCACATGCAGAAGGCAATGCCCTCAGAGTGAGCACACCAGTGCCCATGCCCTTGGCAAGTTTAAAAGCCTACATGACTCTTAACTGCTATCATTATAGTCCAGAGCGACTGTGCGTTTGATACCCATGGCTGCTTTCTGCTTATCACAGGCTTACCGCACTTGGCTATCTTCAACACATCATCTCTGCAGCCAGAAGGGACAGGCCAGCTTGCCATCTGCAGTCTGAGCCTGGTCTGACCTGACACAGCCATGGAGCAGACCAGATGCTGCCGGGGGGGGGGCCAGGTGCTTGGTATCCTTGCTCCAAAGCAAAGCCAAATGGAGACAGTTGAAGAAAGCTAGTTGCATGACCAGGGCATTCTTTCAAGTATTCTACAGTATGACCCTGATACAGCAAAGCACTAGGAGATGTGTTGGACCTTGTAGGAAGGTGCCCAAGTCCCAGTAGCAAAGCACGTAAGCTCACGGTTCACCACGGAAGATGAGCGGAAATGTAAGAGTTTGATTGAGTGGAGAGAGAGTAAGTACTGTGCTGAGCCGATCAGTAAATTAAACCATATATATGATAATGCCATGGCTCTGTCTGCCACATAACACGGTTGCCTTGGAAAACAGCTAAGGAATAAATACTGATCAATGGCTGCAGGCCTGTGCATAGATGATTAATTCTGTTCTCCTGCGAGCTGCTGCTCAGGCTGCTGCTTGAGGTCAGTTTATTTTGCTGTGGCTTACAATTTGGTGAGGAGCTCCCTGATAAGCTTCCACCGGCTCGAGTGCTGCAGTGGTCTGAAGATGATGTGTGCCATGTCTCCTAGCAGCTGGCAGGGTTTGCAGTAACTGGGGGGGAACTGCCAGCAGCCCAAGGTAAATGCCAAGCAGAATAAATTGCAGTATTTATTTTTATAAATGGAAGGACCCGAGGCAGATATTGATTTGCGCAAAGTGGCTGAGTTCAGAGGGTCTTGCTCTCCAGAGCCCGTCATTCTGAGTTGGCCCCTCTAGGAGAAGCCAGGGAAGATCTTTTTTAAAGATGGTTGGAAATGATGCTCAATCCCATGAGAAATGGGCTGAAATAATGAAAAGGGGAAATGTCAGAAACCGAGACTGATTTGCAGGCTATTTTCTTTTTTTTTTTTTTCCCCCCTGGAAGACGCAGTAAAAAAGCAAGACGTGATGTAAAGGAAAGATAATGCCGGCAGGGGTCAGGGCAAAGGCTGTAATGCTAATAGCTTACATCACTGAATGTAGGGTGGGGTTTTCAAAGGAGCCTAAGGGAATTATGTTCCCAGGAAATGGGTACGTCTCTGGCTTAGGCACTTACATAGCCCCTCCTGCAGGCACCTCACAAGCCCCCTTGGACTTGTCCTTACAACACCCTGCTGAGCTGGGCCATTGCTGTGGTTCTGGTGGGGATTCAAGGAGCAAGTGATCTGGACTTGTCCACTTCAAAGTCTTTCTCTACACTTCAAAGGCAAGAGAAAAAGTTAAAGATTGAAGGTGATTTGTGGGATCAGAGAGAGAGAGAAATCTCACTCGCTGTATTTCCTGCTGTGACCTGGGAGATTTTTTCCCTTTAGGCTAGGATGCTGCAGAGCCAGCAGTGCATCACCGCAGGGGGCAACACTGCCGTTCACTCTGTCCCCCTGACTCCTGCGTGCTGCCACCACTAGCTGCTTGCTTCGGTGAAGCAAAGGAGGAAGAGAAGAACACAAACCCCTGAGCCCGGACAAAGGTCTCTAAAAGCCACATTTACTTGAAAAAATGAAAGCAGCCTTCAGCTCCAAACAACAACGCAGCCCTCCCTGGGCTTCCTCTGCAGCCTGGAAAGAGGAAACTTCCCTGTCTGCAGGGGTGAGCAATGGTTTCCTACCACGGCACCATAGCCCTGTTTGTAAATTCATGTGTAGGTAGACTGAAGCGGCATTGCAGCACTGTGCAATCCCTCCTTTCATCAGATAGCCTTGTAGGAACAGAATGGTATCACCGTGATCCTCTCACACTGAGCATTCCCCGTGGGGGGAAGAGAGGAAAGCATTGTTATTTAGACTCTGGGAAATGATGATAAACCCCAATATATTGGGCCTGCAATATAAAAAAGGTAGGTGGAGTTCTCCAGAGATGACGGCCCTTAGCCAGTCGGGCAAAGCAGACTCACTCTTGATGAAGGGTTAATCATGGAAGCACAGCTTAAATGCAACTCAGGTAAGGATGTATCCTTTGGCAGTGTGAGTTTTGTTTGCTGCACACTAAGATGAATGCTGCTTTCTGATATTTTACCCATTTGAAATTGCCCCAGATCTCAGCAAATAAGAAATGTGGCTGCTAAAGGCAATTCCACTCTTCTGATGACTTTGCATTAAAAATCGCTGTCGAATTTAATGGGAAATGCACGTTCGCGAGGCATGATGTTGCTCACAACTAAGCTGAGAGGGCGCTGGTGCTAACTCTCATAGAAGTCCTGGTTTTGGGCCTCCAATTACTAGAATCGATATGTCCTCAAGCAGTGAAAACCAAGTCCGCCCCAGCCAGAACCATCCAAACTGCTGCCTTGTGTTCTTATCTGCTGCATGGCTGGCACTTGCCACTATATAAAGGGATTTCATATGATATGGTGACTTTTCCTAAGGTACAGCCTGTACCTCTTGGACTCAGTCACCAGGGCTGGAAGGCATCATCTCTTAGCATCAAGGTGCTGAAGTTTTGCTAGTTCGTTGCAGAATGCATAGGCTGGAAAATCCACCAGCACCATCTCCTGGAAGAGGTAACTCAAGAGAGCAGGTCTTGCAGGGAAACTTGAAGAACAGCTGTGTTTGGGGAGACCCTAAGCTGAGGTCTGAGCTGTGATGGTGGTTTTGTGTAGCCAACAAAACCAGGAGAGGGTGAGCCTGGCTAAGCCGGAGTCTGAGTTTTGCATGTGGGGCAAGATTTTGTACTGTTCTTAGACTCAAAACAAGCTGGGGCCAATCTCTGCCCACCTCCTTGTGGCACTGGACACCTCTCCCAGAGTGACTGCAGCCTGTGAACTATAGGGTCCCCCTGTGCCGAAAGCGGGGAGCCTGCATGCTATAGAGGCTGCAGTAGAAGCCAGGCCCTGTTCCCCCCATGGGGACACCCTCAGCCGGGGTGCTCAGGCAGCATGCCTGTTCCCACCACTGAGACCTCTGGGTCCAGTTTTATCCCATCCATAACACCATGGACACTTTCCAAGACCAGCTTCCTACCCACAGCACTATCAGTGCCATCCAGCAACCTTCGGAGAGGCTGGAGAGCTAAAGGAGCAGCCACTAAGTCAGCCAGAAGAGAGTGCTACAGACAGCAGCTACTCTGCAACACCCCTGCGGCAAGGGCAGCGACACAGGCACCCCGGGGCAGCAGAAAGCATTGCGTGCCCACGCTCCGGCAAAAGGCGGTGCTGCACAGAACTGATAAGACATACCCGTGCAGGAGGCTAACAGTTTGCAAGATCCATTTTGACCCAGGAAAAGCACCTGAGGTCTGGCTGCCTCCCACCAAGGAAGCCACACGGGAAGCTGTCAGTGACATGCCATGGTTTTTAATGAGCTTTGGTGCCGGCGTAGCTGAGCTGCCTTTGCTAACATCAGAGCTGCGCCACAGGAACTGCAATCAACAGCTTATTAAAAATGAACTCCACGAGATGCAGCCACAGCCCTGTGAGGGTGACACCGAGGGAACCGACTGCGCTGGGAGCAGCAAGGTAATTCCCACCGTAGGCGGGCGCTGGGGCCTGGGCAAAGCAGTGGGCGATGCGGTCCCACGATCCCGGGGCATCCCCTTTTCCTTCCCGTGGCATGGTGGGAGAGCATTCGAGGTGACTCCCGAGGCAGGACTCTGAGCCCCGCTCTGGATCTGTGCTGGAGGCTGCCCCCAGCTGTTCTTGGGTCCCTGGTCCTTCCACTGGGGACTCCGGGTTGGCTGGACGTGACGATAGCTGCTGGGCAGACCCTTGACCCTGCCTGCCACTCAGATGCCCAGGTGGGAATGAGCTGCAGGCCCTGAGGGTCTCAGTTTGGGTCTGTGTGGCTGGATTTACAGGCTTGATGTTCCCCTTGGTTTGGGCTTTATAGCAGCATTGCTGTCTGGGTGCTTGTGAGAGGGGAAATGCCTCATCCATCCGCACCCCTTGCCTGTAGGGCCCAATTCTGGTGGAATAATGATCTCAAGCCACAAGCAGTGGGAGCACTGTGTGTCACGATGGTTAAAGCAGCTGGTAGCCGGGGGTGGGGGGGATGATTAGCTAAGGGCAGGGGAGCAGCAAGTGAGCACTGGGTACCCAGGTGAGAGAAGAGGGGTGTGCCCACCTGCTGTACCAGGGGAGGGTGAAGCGAGACAGGGCTTTACATGGGCAGGGGCTTTGGTGATCCAGTTGCCTTCATGCATTTGCTGTTAGAATAGCCTGGAAGCAGGAGTGGGGTGAGACTGGTATCCGTGAGACCCATTGCCCATGTTCCTGCCGCACACAGCCACCACTGCCCCTCAGCACGGAGAGGAGTGTGCAGGCTGCCCTGGGGGGGCCCAGCCCCTCTAGAGCACACCGGACTCAGTCACCGCGTCCTCGTAGGGCTGGTAGAAGTCTCTCGAGGGCCCCTGCTGCAGTGGGATCCCGGGAGTGGTGCTGGGGTGGCCGTGAGTGAGGATGGTGGTCTTCCGGCTGCAGAGGCTCCCATTGGAGACCTGCCTCTTAAGCCCTGGGCGGAGGCGCGTGCAGCAGGAGAGGGAGCGCAGGGCGTCATGCAGCAGGTGCCCACTGAAGAACATGTAAATCCAGGGGTTGCAGCAGCTGCTGAGGCTGGCCAGCAGCATGGTGATGGTGAACGCCGCGTCGCTGGAGTCTGCAAAAGGAAAGCAGCCCTGTTAACTCTGCACTGTGCACAAGCCACTGCCTTGCCATGGATGAGACCTTGCTTGATTCCCAGCTTTGATGCCGACCTACTGTGTGAGCTCAGGTGAAGCCTCTCTCACCCCTTTGTCTGTGTCCTTTATTTGGGGAGTCAGGTCTTTGCAGCAGGGTCTAGGTGTTTGCATTCGCTCCACAAGCTGTGCCGCTGGCATCAGCAGCCCACTCCTTGGGAGAAGCACTGCCAGGCTCTGGAAAGGTATCAGAAGCCAGACTGCAGCAAGCTGGGTGTTGTTCTGTCTGTGCCACTGGTGCAAGAGCTATTGCCAGGGCTTGCTCATCACGATGCTCCAGTAGGGGACAGGGACCTTCATTCGGGCATGTGCTACACTGCCAGCCACTGCGAGCCCGCTTCCCACTGCCAGAGTAGTGGAAAGGGGTTTTGGCCTTAACAAGAATTGGGACCAGAGTCATCTTTATTTTGTGAAGAGAAAACACACCAGGAACGGGGCCCGATCCCGTTCTAGCTACGTGTACAGAGGTTTACATCACTGGAAAAGAGCTCAGAATCTGATCCTCTGGTTCCTGCACATACCCTCCGTGTGAGCCAGCAGAGCTGACTGGGAGATCTGGTGCCTTAAACGTGCTTCCTTTGTCACTGCTGGGGTCTGAAGCAAATGATGGACAAAGCCTGAGAAAATCAAGCCTCAGGGGGGAAATAATGGAAAGCCATTCAAATATAATCTCCTTTGAAGTTTTCAGTGGCTTCCATTTAAAGGCTCAATACTCATGGACTGGAAATGGAAATGTTATTAGCCACGTAAGATTAAAAATTAAGTTCCTGTATTATCCTCTCATATCTGAAATTTGAGACTTGAGCACTTATAACTAGGCAAGGGCTCCTTTCATTGAAGCAGCGGTTAATTATGTTCCCCCGAGCATCTAGTATGTGGAGACACCGAGTAGACCTTCAGGCAATGGCTCAGTGGATTTCGGGCTTGGCTGCTGGGACAGTTTGGGGCCAAGGCTGTTTGCCCTAAAGGTGGAAATCCCCCTTTGCTGACAGCCAGCATAAGACTTGTGCACCACTTAAAAAGGACAGCTGTGCCCCTGGGGCTGGGCTGCAGGCATGTGCTAGCTCACTGAACCCCAGCAAATTTCACTCTTTCTGAACATCCAGGGTACAGGATGGAAGGCATTAAGGAGGAGACGTGCACCTCACACAGGAGACAAGTCCCACTGGCTTCTGTCAGATCACTGCAACTGTATTTTTGTATGATTTACTAACTTCAGGTGCCCACAGCCTCAGATTGAGATTTAAACTAAGAAAGATTCACCCCACACCTGCATTTGGAGCTCTCCCCCTAAAAAAACACTGCTCCCTTGGACAATCGTGGTGAAATACTGTGCTCTGCAACAACCCCAGTGAAAGCAACGCGGAAACAATTTAGAGCCGATGAGCTGATCCTAAATGTTGCAAAGCACAGAAAAATTGAGGCGCTACAAACAGACTTTGCCTTAGGGATAACAGAAGCACTCTGCATTGGGATTGCTGCTGGGATGCAATTTTGGTGATGTATCTCAAAATATATCAGATACAAACAGCCCTTTAATGGATTATATAATCCCCTAATCTATTAATAGATACAAAGTTATAAAAAAGAACTGACATGCTGGAAAACACATCTCTGATCAGTTTGGAAATCGCTTGTAAGACGCAGCAAGTTGTGGGATAATTTTTCAGCAACAGCAAGGGCACAGGCTAAAAGAAAAATGGTTGAGAACCACTCCACTAGGCACCTATGCACACACCCTCCATGCTGATTGTAAAACAAAAATTGCTAAATGAAGTTGAATGGTTATTAAATCATCAGTTTAACATTATTTTATATGTCTGAGAGAGACAGAGAGAGAGAGAGGGTCCCAGACCTGCCGGAGGGTGAGGGTGCCTATCTCGTTCTGCACAGTGTGTGTAGATCAGCGATTCTCAGCCCCGGTGCTGTGGCACCCTTGGGGTGCCTTGAGACCTTTTCAGGGGTGCCAGGCAATGTTCAGTGTGCAGACATAAATCACAAGCTAAACCCAGAGATTTCCAACAGGAATTTTGCCCTGCCCTTTCTGAGCTCTTTCCAACAGAAGAATCCCTCTAGGATTTTTCCATAGTCGAAAAACAAAAGGAGTGAAAGCTCAGAGCTGGCATTTTCTAAGGGTGCCCTGGCAGTAAGGAGAGGGCTTCAGATCTGAACTGGTTGAGAAGCACTGGTATAGTGCTGGGAGCCCTGTGTACAGTGCGTGCCCGTGCCCGTGCCCGTGTCTGTGTAGATGGTCTCTGGGGGTAGGAGCCCTGTGTACAGGGGATGGGTGAATACGGGTGTGTGTAGATGGTCTATGGGGCTTGAAGCCCTATGTACTGTATTTGTATAGGTCTCTGGGTACTGGAGCCCTGTGTACATGGGTGCGTGTGTGCACGTGCATGCCTGTGTAGATGGTTTCTAGGGGTCAGAGCCCCGTATACAGGGTTGTGTGTGAATGGGCATAGACGGTCTCTGGGGCTTGGATCCCTGTGTACTGTGTGTGCATGTGCGTGGGCACATGTGTGTGTGTGTAGATGGTTTCTAAGGGTTGGAGCCCCTGTGTAATGTGTGTGTGTGCATGCACAGGTGAATGCAGACAGTTTCGAGAGGTAGGAGCCCTGTGTATGGGGGCGGGTGTATATAGACAGGCTCTAGGGCTTGGTGCCTGTGTGTGTGTGGGTGGCCAGGTGCCATCTGCCCACTCTGTGTGCGCAGGGAGGCTGTGGGCAGCTCCGTCCCACTGGAGTGGGGTGCATTGCCCAAGGCTGAGCCCCGTGACCTGGGTGCCTGGCACAGGCACATGTGGGCACATGTCCGTGGGCTCTGCTGCGCCTCTGCCCTCACCCATGCACCCCCCGAATGCCCCCTGCCCGCACTAGCCCCCCACACTCACCCTCGCCGGGAGCGCCAGGATCCCAGACGGCCCAAAGCTGCACGCTGAAGAAGGGTGCCCAGCAGGCCACGTAGGCCAGTACGATGACCAGGGTCATGTGCACGGTTCGCACCTTGGCACGGGACAGGCGATGCCCACTGCTCACCCGTGCCGCACCCCCTGCCCGCAGGCTGCGGCCCACCCGACGGCAGATGAGGCTGTAGCAGGCGGCCAGGGCAGCGGCAGGCAGCACGAAAATGGCCAGCGCCGTCCAGGTCACATAGGCACGGGCACCCCAAGCTGGGGCAAAATGGGCCCAGCAGTCCCGCACACCCGAGCCAGGCCGCACCTCCCTCAGCGAGAAGACAAAGAGCTGCGGGGTGCTGAGCAGGGCGCTGAGTGCCCAAGCAGCAGCCGCAGCCAGGTGCGGCCGTCGGGCGGGCTGGCGCAGCGCCCGCAGTGGGTGGCACACGGCCTCGTAGCGGTCCAGCGTGAGCGCCAGCAGCACGTAGGTGGAGGCGAACATGCTGAGCGCCTGCAGGTACTTGACGGCGCGGCACAGCACGTCGGGCCCCGCAAAGCGGAAGGTCAGCTCCCACAGCAGCTGCGGCAGCACCCGGAACAGGGGCACGGC